TTCAGGAACGAGCGAGTAAGAAACATTTTTGTACGTTCATGTCAGTTGGTTTTATCTCGACAGTTGTGTGAACTAAAAACTTTCCGCGTGGTTAATTGAAAAGATCGGATTGACAGACTGGCGAAATGATTGTAATTGTTGCCTCTTCATATAATCTGGATTAACAAGTTGCTGCCTCTATTGTTGGATGCGTAAAACCTCAAGGTAAGAATATTTTATTATTGGGTATTGATACTTCGTTTAAAGAACAGTGGAAAAGTTGCATAAACTTTCGATTTAAATACATGCAAAAGAATGTGTAAAAGAGACCGTCTAAGCTAATTAGTCACCCATGATTAACCTGCGCGTATTTCATATTCTCACAGAAATATGTCTCTGTAACCAGACCCAGTCTGCCAAACTGGGTTTTGTAGAGTCTTTTGTGTTTGTCTGTCCGGTATATGATATCGCAAAATAGAGGCATGCATTTGCCTGTGTGCTTATTTATGAGTACCCATCCTTACGCGTGCATATATAACTGCAAGTGCAAGCAAATAACTGTGTGTGTTAAGATAGGTAAATATAAATAGATAGGTAGATAGATAGACAGATAAGTCTACATATACAGAAAGGTACATAGGCAAGTAAAAATAAAAAAAATAAAAAAAATAAAATAATAATAATAAATATATATATATATGTATGTATATATATATATATATATATATATATATATATATATGTATATATATATATATATATATATATATATATATATATATATATATATATATATATATATATATTATATATATATATATATATATATTATATATTATATATATATATATATATATATATATATATATATATATATATATATATATATATATATATATATATATATATATATATATATATATATATATACATATATATATATATAATATATATATATATATATATATATATATATATATATATATATATAATATATATTATATATATATATATATATATATATATATATATATATATATATATATATATATATATATATATATATATATATATATATTTTGTGTGTGTGTGTGTGTGTGTGTGTGTGTGTGTGTGTGTGTGTGTGTGTGTGTGTGTGTGTGTGTGTGTGTGTGCGCGTATGTGTGTGTTTGTGTGTGTATGAATGTATACAAATTCACAATAAATAAATAGACATACACACATACATTCATACATACATATATACATTGCAACAGAAACAACGAAGGAAGAACAAGAAAACACAAGAATATGCCGAAGGCCTTTTTTTCATATATTATTTATTTATTTATTCATTTATACATATATGTGTGCTTCATGCTCACGGTAATGTGAAGCGATGGTGTGGTAGACTAGGTAGTGCTTGCATGCCCTCTCGCTTACAGCTGCCACCGCTGGCTAGCCTAGTGCTATAAAGGGAGCAGCTTTGCATAAGCCGGTTTATAACCTCTCCAGCATTGAGATGGAGAGGTTATATATATATATATATATATATATATATATATTATATATATATATATATATATATATATATATATATAAGCCTCCTCGTGGCCACCCATGGAAACTGAGCATCTTGCAGTCCCGAGCTAAGCCGTGGGGGACCTTCGAGCAGCAGGAGGCCCCAGAGGTACAGAGTCATTGCCCACCGGCATGTGGACATGCCATGGCTCCATATCAACTCCTGCCCTTCAGCCCCCTAGGGTAAATGGACGACTCAGGCGAGGCCGGTCTTGCCAGTCTTCTCCCACTAGATTCAGACTCACTGGCAGTGTCTTTTATAATTGGAAATGCTGGGGATAAGGGTGCTGCTCCTCCCACCCAGCAAGTGAGGCGGGCTGTGGGTCCTATTGGAAGAGCGACTGTTGCTCCCATCCCTTGGTGTATAAGGCTCGGGCACTTCTGAAAAGTAATAAGGAACAGCTCATCAGGAATCTTGATTAGGAGGTTGAAGGCCATTTCCTTATAAACAGCTTTTGTCCTGTCTATCAAGCCCTAAGAAAATATAGGTCCAAGCCCTCACAGATGGCTGCAGTCCGTTCAGTGGATGGACGGATCATCTCAGATCATATTGGGGTTTGTGAACGTTGAGCAGAATATTTTAAGCAACTATCAGATAGACCCTTTATTAACAGGTAGTTTGGACGCAAGCAAAACCCACCTATCAGTAAGGAACTCCCTAGACTGGCTGATGTTAGGGAGGTGATCTCTAAGCTGAAAGGTGGAAAAGCTTGCGGACATATGCGAACCACTAAAAGCTGGGGGTTAACCTATGGCACGGGGGTGGCATGTTATCTTGGCTGCCATCTGGAAGTCCTGTTCCATTCCCCTGGACCTGTTGAGGAGTGTGGTCATCCCTCTCTGGAAGGGGAAAGGGGTTCGTTGGGACTGTAGCATCTACCATGGCATCCCACTACTCAGTATACCAGGCAAAGTTTTTGCATACATTCTGCTGAAATGGATTCGCAACCAGCTAGTAAGGGACCAAAACCGGAAGTCTGAATTCACTCTTTGCAAGCCCTTAATAGTCTGTATCCTAGCGCTTCTAGTTATTATGGAACGCCGTCGGAAGTTCCTCAACTGAAAGGGTTTGACTCGGTGCATCACAAATTGCTATGGAAGATCCTGAGACAGGGGAATTCCAACACGGATTATTGGTTTAATGGCGTCTATATACTGGTACCGAAAGTGCTATAAAGTGTTGTGAGGGCTTGTCGAGCTTCTCCCCTATTAACTCAGAAGCGAGGCAGGGCTGTGTCCCTGCACTAATACTTTTTAACACTTGCATGAACTAGATAATGGACAGAGCTACTATCCAAAGATATTGGGTTTTTGCGCGCTGATGTTTACACATTTGTTTGGAATGTGAAGTATCCACAACTTACATCATCGCCTGAAGCAGCCGCAAGCAAATATTTGTGCTATCCATGGCATATCCGCAACTAATGCTCGTGTCATTTGTAATTCATGAATCCCTTGCTCATTAGCATGAAGAAAGGGTGTATATTGGCATGAAAAAGGGTGTATATATCGAGCTGATAGCAAAATCATTCTACAGCTAGTGTAAATACGCGATAAATTTTACAATCATCTTAAATAAAGAATCCATTTACGAGTCCCCGCGCCGCGTCCAAACACAAAGTGCTAGAATAAGGCGTAGTATTGATTCACACTCACACCATGCCTACTGACCTACTGCCATATTGTAGACCGTGAATCAGTCTATAAAGACAGTTGGCAAAGATCAATACCGCATGTTAAGAGAGTGATGGCGGTGTCCGCTCCGGTTTCACGCCTTCTGAAATGCTGTCTCGTTCTCTCTTTTTCTCTCTATGTACGTATACACAAACATACATGTGTGTGTGTATTATGCATGTGTGTGTGTGTGTGTGTGTGTAATGTATGTGTGTGTATATATGTATAATATATATAATATATATATATATATATATATATATATATATATATATATATATATATATATATATATATATGTAATGTATATATATCATATATATATATATATATATATATATATATATTATATATATATAATATATATATATATATATGTATGTATGTATATACGTGTGTGTGCGTGTTTGTGTGTGTGCGTGTGCGTGTGCGTGTGCTGTGCGGTGTGTGTGTGGTGTGTGTGTGTGTGTGTGTGTGTGTGTGTGTGTGTGTGTGTGTGTGTGTGTGTTGTGTGTGTGTGTGTGTGTGTGTGTGACAGAGAGAGAGAGAGAGAGAGAAGGATTGGCTTGTAGTTTTAAAAATATCGTTTCGGGCGTGAAAAAGTTGCTTTCGTAGGTTTGGCCTGAAAAAAGTCATTAGATTGCGAATCGAGAATCACACGATAAATTCCACGGTGTTTTAATCCCTATTTCATTTATGATAAAAGACAAAACTAAAAGAGCATCTTGAAGTTTTGGACGACGTCTAAGAACCAATGGGTCTCTACAGTCTTGGAGCAAAGCAGGTTGCACTTAAGTTATGCATAAATGGAGCACTGTGCAAGACTAGGATTGCAGGAAAATTATTGACTGGACTAGCACTGCGCAGAGTGATTAGGAAGGAATACTCTAGCAAGATCATTGTTATTGATTGGTCTCGGGGGAATTCCCTGCGGTTCACTGTGATCCCAAGACTCTGAACACTCTCGATAAAAGGCTGCGAATGCTACAAGGGATATCTAAATAAACGCGTATCGTGTTGATATGGATTAAATTACGCATTCCATGTGAATACGATCGCATGTTGGAATCCCGAAGAATTTACATGCTGTCGACTTGAAAGGTCAGGATTTGACAAACTAATAGCAGACGTTGAACTAAGGAGTTATTTTTAGCCTGTATCCCTCAAACATTATAAGAGCCTCCTGGAAGAAGATAATTGGTCTTCTGCAATATTCCAAAAGACCTGAATTCTGTAACAGAAAGCCTTATGACTTGTTCGCAGAATAGAAATCAAAATAAAACCTCACATAACAAGACAATGTAATGTCGTGACCACAAGAACAAAGTTTGGATGCAGACTGTAATGGCGGGTCGGCGAAACGAGCAAAACGGAAGATTTTAAATGTGAATTGAGTTTTGAAATCAGATTTACAAGCAGTAAATTATCTCTGAGTGCCATATAATGCAGCCTCCTATAGTACTTATTATAAATTAATGCATGTGGCTATTCTGTTTTTTTATGTATTAGTAGGTATATATATCTTGTCATATGCTAAATCTTTATACTATGAACAATTTTTAGATACATAGTTACGGAAGTTTTAACCGAATAAGCAAGATTACCTCTGATATATTTCGTTTATGATCATTATCATTATTTTTGTTATTATTATTCTTTATATGTGGGTGTGGGTGTCCCTGTGTGTGTATCCCTGTGTGTGTGTATCCCTATGTGTGTGTGTGTGTCCTTGTGTGTGTGTGTATCCCTGTGTGTGCGTCCTCATTAAAGAGGCCATGCCCTGCAGGATGTCCCGCCAGCCCCCTGACGGGTCCCTCCAGCTGCAGTGGGTCTTCGGCTACAACGGACACACGGCCAGGAACAACGTGAAAGTGAACAGCGCGGGGCACTTGGTCTACTACGTGGCGGGCGTCGGGGTCGTGCATGACATCGGCCAGAAGAAACAGGCCTTTTACACGGGCCACAACGATGATATCACCAGGTGAGTGAATAAGAAGGCGAAGGGTAAGAACTGGACACCGTGGGTAAGCTCCAAGATCAGATGTGCATAAAAAGAACGAAGAGAGGGACAGGAAAACATGCGAATGCTTATTTTTTTAATTTTTCTATAACAGATTGGTAGTTATATCCATCTTCCTCTCTTCCTCGCCCTCCGAGTTGGCCTAATTGTCTTCTTGCGGCAGATGTGTTTCGGGTTTAGGTTAGAAGGAATGGATCGTTTAGAATTGGCGGTCTGAGCAAGGTCTATATAAGTACTTACATAGACCTTGGGTCTGAGCATGGCAAGAGAGTCTATAGTACGCTAAGAAATACTTATTCAGCTGCACACTCGATTTTGATTAGACATAATTTATTACATGTGATTTTCCCATGATCATTGTACCATGTCCTTATATTTTTAAATCTACTTATAATATCTGCACTTGATAGCAGCCGCGACGTCATCATTGTTTACACGCGAATATCTTCCATTCTCTTCAAAGTAGCTTGCTCGTATTTCTAATAAAAATACGCCTCAACAATGAGTGCGGACAGCGTCGTATCTTGGACACAGAGTAGCACAATAGCGCTCATCGAGAAGGTGAGGGAATTTAAGTTTCTTGCCTCTGGGATATTGAAAGCCCAGATTTCAAGATGGTTCTGCTCGCCCGTGTGACCAGCAAGTAGGAAAATGGCCAACACACTAGGGTAGGGCTACTTCGAAGGCTAGATATCATGACAAAGAGGGTATTCAATAGACAATTTGTTCAGTATGAATTCTTTATACTACAACCTTTGACGTCTCATATTTTGTCCTAATTGTTAATTCAAATTCAACCTTTTTGCCACAATACACCGCCCCCAATCTTCACCCTATTGCTAAATTTTGAACAAGCCGATAATGGCCTTATATATAATAGATAATTAACCATACTATAAAGTGAGCATAATTAATGACCCATAGTAGGACATTAAAGGAAATTTAGCACCAGAAAATTTATTGCAATGCCTGTTCAATTCCTTATAGCAGATCATCATTGGATTAAGATGAAACAAGACATACCAAGGCATACTAAATCATCACAAAAAATGACCTTATTACACCAGCTTATAAACACAGGAATAAAGATTATAATCTGCCCCACTGACCCTTCCGACACTTCAATGCACTTCAGCCTGGCGATGAGTGCAGACGGCAAGCTGGTGGCGACGGGGCAGATGGGCAAGGACGCCTACATCACCGTCTGGGACTCCTTCACCTGCCAGCCCGTCAGCGTCATCCACGACGGCCACAGCCACAGCGTCACCAGCCTCGCCTTCTCCTCCGACGGCTCCGTAAGCGCAGGGCTTTGGTGACGCGCCGTTGGGAGTGTTGCTTCGGCCTGTGGATACGTGGATGTAGATGTGGATATAGAGAGAGAAAGACACGGATGTGCATGTATACAGACAGATAGATGGATATAGATGTAGGTTTATGTGTTTAAATATGTGTATGTTTGTGTGTGTGTGTGTATGTGTATGCGTGTGTGTGAGTGTATATAATATATAATATATATATATATATATATATATATATATATATATATATATATATATATGTATGTGTTGTGTGTGTGTGTGTGTGTGTGTGTGTGTGTGTGTCGTGTGTGTGTGTGGTTGTGTGTGTGTGTGTGTGTGTGTATGTATGCATATATGTATGTATACATATAATATATATATACATATGTGTATAAATATACATGGACATATATGTGTGTGTGTGTGTATGTGTGTGTGTATGTGTGTGTGTGTGTGACAATAACAAGACCCTCCTCCCCCTCAGATGTTGGCGTCGGTGGGCGGGCCCGACCGGAAGCAGGAGCTGATGGTCTGGCTGTGGGAGAAGGGGCGGCGAGTGGCGCAGAAAGTGGCGTACAATGGAAAGGCGAGTTGCTCTCTATTGCACACCCAGGAAATATGATGCGGCGATGTTCGATATATCATAACTCAAATGTTACTAAATGAATCACCATACTTCAGGTGGAGGAAGTGGAGTGGGAGCCCGGGTCCACCACCAAGCTTGTCACCTGTGGAGCGAAGCACGTCCGGTTTTGGAAACTCCGCGGCAACGTTCTCCAGGTAGCTAAGCGTATTTTGCATTGCCACATAATTTTTTTCTGTGCATCCTGTATTGGTTTCTGGTGCGTTGTCTTCCTTTCTTCTCGTGCACTTTCCTTTTGTTATATCTCCTGCCTCTTTGCGTGTTTTTTCTTTCCTCTGCGATCCCGCTTTATTCCTGTATTCATGTCGCCACTATACTTTGTGAAAGTGTGAGTGAGACGGGAGAACGAGTACCTTGTAAAATATGTGTATATATTTATATACAATTTATAAAAGCCATAACAGAGATTAGGAGAGAGAGGAGAGAGAGAGAGAGAGAGAGAGGAGAGAGAGAGAGAGGGAGAGAGAGAGAGAGAGAGGAGAGAGAGAGAGAGAGAGAGAGAGAGAGAAAGAAAGAGAGAGAGGGGGGAGGGGGAAGAAAGCGGGAGAGCGAGAGAGAGAGCGAACCCTAAAATCCCTAACACCGTGACTTACTGCAGAGTGTCTCGGGAGTGTTCGGCGGCGAAGGAGTGTCGGACCAGGTGAGCGTGACCCACATGGCCGACGGGCGCGTGGTGACGGGCTCCGACTGCGGCCACCTCTACGTGTGGGCCAACGCCAAACTAGAATCGGTCGTAAAGGACGTTCATCCGGTGAGTTTAACCTAATGTTGGCAATAGACGACCGTAAATTTATTGTCTTAAAATAAGTCATTCTGTCATCAAAAGTAAGGAATCATTTTCTTCTCAGTAGTAGACGTGTGTCTAACAGGATCTAAAGACGATGATCATGCAGAAAATAGCCATATATCTGGAACGGTCCAGTCAGTATAGGCGTATGAATGTTGGCCATAAAACAAATAAAATTGAAAATCAAAGTTAATTCTGAAAAAAAAATCCCTAAAAATCCAAGAGCTACTACACAGTTATGCCATTATTTTACTACACTCTTATAACGAGAACTTACCACACGTTGTGCAAGGGTGACATACCAATCTTTAAGCTTTATCTGCCAAACAAAACGCACAATAGTAGTTCAGTTGAAGTCGTTCCTTACTACCTCATGACTACCAACCTTCCAGGGAGGAGTGCTTGTGACGGAGGTGTACCCTAATGGGCTCTTGACTGGGGGGAAGGACGGTTCCATCAGCATGTTTGACAAGGACCTCAACAAAGTAGCAACAGTACCAGGTAAAGGGTACATCCACTTGTACACTTGATTACGTAAATGAACTCTCCGGTGGTATTACTTTTATTTTTCTTATGATGAACAGATTCATAAATGGTTCATTTGTTCCAGAAGCTCCCAGCCTGGTGTACGACGTGGCCGGACCCATACACTCTCTCGCCGTTTTCAACGAGATGGTCAGACTTCCCCCTTCCCTCCCTCTGCTCGTCTCTCTCTCTCTCTCTCTCTCTCTCTCTCTCTCTCTCTCTCTATCGTCTCCTCTCTCTCTCCCTCCTTCTTCTCCTCATCTTCTCTCTCTCTCTCTCTCTCTCTCTCTCTCATCGCATTCATATGACGTTTGCAACTTGGGCTTTACCATATTTGGCATATTTCAATATACAACGACAGTCACATTAACCAGACCTGCCGTAAGTTTTCTTGACCACCGGCCGGCTTTGCCTTTCCAGGTCATCGCAGGAACCGAAAAGAACGAAATTTGGACCGTGCGAGCTCAGGACAATGACGGGTTTTCGGCGGCGTGCATCGTGCAGGGCCACGCTGAGTCTGGGGGATGTTAATCTGCACAGCACCCTCCAGACCCGTCGCCGCCACCGCTCCCGATGACCCTTAGGTACATTGTGTGACGTTCGTGTTTTAGTTTACTTTAATTTCCCTCACCGCACAACTATTCTATTCATTACTGTTATTACTTGGTATATTTTATGTGTAAACGAGGGGCCGAGGCAGACGGTTCAGCCACGTCTCTATAATACACAACAACAACAACGTCGACAAGTGTTATATCTATACATGCAAAGTTAACATTAAAAAATCCGCCAACCTCAGGACCGAGCTGCCGGATTTTTTTGTATACATTGTGTGCGTATTGTTTAACGGGAAAGGACTACGTGGACAAGATAACATTTGACACTGAATGAAAAATAAAGCTAAGCTAGCATTACTATCAGATGGACTGTCAGAATGATCAACCTCACAACTGACAGTAACAGCCACTCAAAATCACGTGCGATCGAAGACGAATTTCTGAAGGCGGATTTTCTTTTGCCAGCCTGTATTTATTATAATTATGCTATTCCTTATTTGATCTTATTATATTAGTTACAATATATATTATAATATATTTCGTCTAGTATATATATATATATTATTATATATAATATATATCTCATATTATATTATATGCTATTATATTATCTATATATGATCGATTTAATATATCTATATCTTATTTTCTATATGGATATATTCTAGCATATCCTATCTATCTATGTATATGTAATTTATATATATATACTACTTGCAATCTAATCATGTATACATTACTATATTACATGTATATATACATTTAGCACAATGCATGTATATATATATGCATGCATATATACGCACTGACTATCCTGTATTAAACACGTCATGGATAACACTGTAAGATTCAGAATTATACAGAACGTGGGAAGTTGCGTAGAGAGTGGGGGAATTTCCAACTTTTATTCAAGATATCTGCTTTTTCCAACTTTTCTATTTCTATCTATTCTCACCCTTCTATACTTATTCTGCATGTCTATCTATATATTTACTATTAACTCATCTCATATCTATCTATATCTGTCTATTCTATCTATCTATCTATCTATCTATATATATATATAATTGTATATATATATATATTATATATTATATATATATATATATATATTATATAATATAAATAGGGGGGGTCTATATATCTCTTTTCCATCTATCTACGCATCTATATTTTTTCTTTGTCTCTAAAAAAACGAATTCAGCAAATACAAGAATTTGAAATGTCATATTATCTCACCTATCGTTCTCGCGGCAGTTTGAAACAGTACATGTCAGTTGTACAGAGAACGCACCTCATGTTCGGTCCGACTCCCTCCTTCACCCCCCCCTCCCCCTGGCAGGCTGTGGGACCTGGAGGAGCACCGGCCGATGACGACGGCGACGATGGACGTGCAGGCGCGGTCGGTGGCCTTCAGTCCCGATGGGTCCAGACTTGGCGGTCGGCCTCACTCTCGGGATATTTATCATCTCCTGGTATGCTAGTTTGCAAATATTTCTGAATGTCGTTTTTTTGTTATTTAGTATATATTTATGTGTATTTATTGGTTGATATTCGAACTTCCGTGTGTTCAGTGGTTTTCGTTTGGATGTGTATTTTACATATCGCTGGCTGAGTAAGAACTAATGGCGATAACTTTTCGTTTTGATGTTTTATTTTCTTTTTGCGGTATACTATTGTACATTCTTCGTTGTTGTATTTCTAGTATCTTATCTTGATCTTGTGAAATGTAGGAGTTTTAAAAAGTCCATAAAGATAGCAACTAATCATATATATTACCCATGATTCTGTATTTCCGATACCTGGTGCATGGACTGTAGTGTATGAACCTTGTAAGCGGAAGGACTGGACGATACATTAAGCTGACCTAAAATCCCTCTAAAAGTCGAAATTGAATAGATAAATATGATATAAATAAAATAAAAAAGCATTTAATGCATGCGTCAGTCGTCCATTTATCTATTTCATTGTGCATTTGTGATTCGCTCTTTAGGATTTTCTCTTTGGTAGAAGCATCTACTTATCATTTCATTATCATTACTCTCTTTTATCACCATTTTTAACCCATGTGTTGTTGCTATTATTATTGTTTTTGTTATTGTTGTGATTATGTTTTAGTTTTTGTCATCATTTTTATTATTTATATTAACATAATTATTAGTACTATCTTCATCATTAAAAACATCATTTAGATTACAAACCCCCTTTCGTATAGAAATACCCGTGGCATCCGTTACAGCAGACATTCATCGCTTACTCAAAACAAAACCTCGCAATTTCCCTCCAGGCACCTCGAGGAGCAGTTCCGTGTGAGCGACCGCAAGGAGGTGCGCCAACACGCTCAAACATCACCCACAACGGGGATTCTTGGCTCTGTGGTGCCTCAAATGATAACTTTGTAAGTGCCTTCCAGATATCTCTAGCAATCTCACTTTTAAAATATACCTTTATATCATCTTTCTATTCATTATTTGATATAAGGAGAAAGGTGAAAAGTGATTTACATTTCCGCAGGGTGGACGTGTCGGGCTGGAGAGCGGTTACGAAAGGACGAAGGTGCTGTCGGGTGCCTCCTCCTTCATCACTCACCTCGACTGGTCTAGCGATTCCCTTTACATCCAGGTGAATACAGGCGACAGTCAGAGGCTTATCTACAACGTGTTAGGTAATACCCTAAGTCAATACAGTCAAGGTGACGTCAGTAGATCATAACGTCTATGTATTAACTCAGAATATGAACATATGCAGAACAACGCTCATGAATCACAAATTTCATTCATAAAGAGAGTTTAAGAGAATGAGCGTAATATATCATGTACATTACCATATGACAAATCTGTGACTGTGCACAGAGGAGGCCATCGTGGACGAGAGCTCCATTCCATCGGTGGGCTGGTCCACTTGGACGGGCGTGCTGGGGCCTCAGGTTGCCGGGCTCTGGCACAAGTACGCTGACGTTTCTGACATCAACGAACTTCTAACTTACTAACTCGTAACTGGCGACGACTTTGGTCTTCTCAAGCTATTCAGATTCCCTTGCACAAAGAGAGGTGAGACTGCTATTGCGAAAGCCTTGGTATTACCGTATATGTATGAAATTTTGAGAGTATTTTTATGTTTAATTGCACATTTGTATAAATGTGCGAAACAAGTCAACCGCCAAATCAGAACGTTTCTACCTTCTTATCCTCTACCAATTCCTCCACATTTTTTTTCTTCTACTTCTTTCTCCTCCTCCTCCTCCTCCTTCCTATTGTTGTTATTATTATTATTATTATTATTATTATTATTATTACTCCTCCTCCTCCTCCTCCCTGTCCAGGCGCGAAATCCCGGAGCTTCGTGGGCCACAGCGCGCACGTGACCAACGTCAGGTGGACCAACGATTCCGAGTACGTGGTGTCTGTCGGGGGAGCCGACCACGCCGTCTTCCTGTGGAGATTTCGACCCTCAAGAAAGTCCTCTCCCAGGATGGACTTAGGTTAGGCGCTCCTTTATCGTTATTTTTAACGTTCCAATACATTATTTTCCTTATCAAATAGTTAGCATAGTTATAGCTGTGATATTTGAATATTTGTTTCGGTCTGATTTCAATAATTTTCCTTACTAGTGTAGTTCCATAACTGTCGTTAGTTTTTTTGTTATGATTAATGTGCCATTAATACCAAAAGTTATCGTTATCTTGATCACGGTCTCATCGTTGTTATAATCTTATTGTAACATGCTATGGCGATTTTTTTATTTCTTAAAACAATATGCCCATTATGATTATTTCGTTTTTACTACACCTTTTTTGTCATTCCTGCATTATATACATAGAAAAATTATACAAACATTGTCTCCAGAGAGTCTGACCGCAAAACTTTAAGCTCCCCTTGTACCCCGTCAGTGAGGCTTCCGTCCTCCGTTGAAGACGAGTCTGACGACGATGTCCTGGACACGGAGGACGAGCTCGAGGGCATTCCCGAGCTCACCCTCGACCTAGAGGAAGAGCTCGCCGGGTCGACAAGATCGTCCGGGTTGGTGTGGTGAACAATTTATTTTTTTGAGACAGGTTTTTTTTTCAAGTTTATGTGAAAAGTCTTTTGTTAATCCTGAAAGTGGTCTTAGTCTTTCTCTTAGTAAGGGTAGACGCTGAAACCACAGTAACTAGATAGATCACCTTGACTGCAGTGCAAGATTTCCAAAGTGATATTACATACGGATATCTAGGTAAAACGTCGTTTGCCCATGTTTCAGCAGCTGATTGAGCAAAACTGACATTCATAGTACCAAATTTACGCATCACAATAAAGCCGCCATACCACTTGCACAGCAGACGCAGCAGGAGGAGGACAGACGACGCCACGCCCGGGGTCGACGTCGCAACCGACTCGACCTTCGCGAAGCGCCGCGCCGCCACGGACGAGAACGAGAAGGCCAACGTCGCGCCCATTCACGCCCTCTCCGTGAGCCATATCTTCGGGTATGTCGCCGTGTGTGTTGTTAAGTCGTTTCTGAATTCTAAAAGGTAAATTCACACATATTTTGAAGAGAAATGTTTACGAGTAGGAGTCTTGCTTTTAAACGGAGAATTACTTCTTTCTTTCTTTCTACTTCTCAGGTATCGTGCCCATGAATGTCGCAACAACGCCCACTGGTTAAAGGATGGGCGTGTGGTGTACCACGTCGCAGCGGTGGGGATCGTGTGTGATCCTCAAACGCTTCGTCAGGAGCACTACCTCCACCACACAGACGACATCCTGTGCTTAGCTGTCCATCCGGGAGGGGAGTTGGTCGCCTCGGGTCAGGCAAGTGAATTTGGAGAGAATTACTATCATATTACCGGAACTCTTAAGGAGGCTTTCTCTTTCCCTGGCAGTTTTATGATAACCAGAGACTGGCATGATGTTTCCTAGATGGTAGCGAACAGGTCAGATTGTTGCTATTTTCATTTTTAAGGGTGTTTTGTATCAGCTGGGAAGTAACGTAGATGTTGCAAATTATTTTCCAACTCTAAGATGAGTGTGTGCATTGCTGCAGATCGGGAATGAGGCGACGGTTCATGTGTGGGACGCGGTAGACCACAGGATCTTATCCCTCCTTCAGGGGGGTCATAAGAGAGGCGTGTCAGCGGTAGACTTTTCCTCAGACGGGGAGCGCCTGGCATCTTTAGGGCTCGACGACTACCACACACTCGTTGTTTGGAACTGGCGCAAGGGATACAAGCTCGCCAACGCCAGGTTTGTGGACAGATTTACTTATAAGTCGTATCACTTTTTGCAGGTTTTCTTTCTCCAATATATCATCTTGACACTTTGACCCCTAAACACCAGATCCTCCTGTGTCCTCCCTTCAGCTGTGTAACATAAACACGGTACATGTACTCCTTGTAATCTACCTGATTCCTCTCTTTCTTTCTCATCTACTCTCTTCCGATATCATTCCCACCTGCCTTTCTACCTCGCCGCCAGTAATCCTCTTCCCACTTCCAGAGGCCACAGCGACAAGGTCTTTGGGTTGAGGTTCAGCCCCTCCAACAGCCATCGCTTAATAACCTTCGGCGTGAAGCATGTGAAGGTGTGGAACCATGTCGGCGGCGGACTGACCCATCGCCAGGTTTCGCTGGGCCGCAAATTGAAACAGGTATGGCTTGGTTAATGGAGACTTGAACAGGGACTTGTTTATTTGTTACGTGTAAATGATTCTCCAGTACAAGTGTGAAAGTACAAATGTCAGATTTCAATAAACCAGGAACGGTACTATCGACGTTGCAGGAAACAGCTCTGTGCAGTGCAGTAGGAGGAGGCGAAGGGTCGGAGGAGTGGTGGGTGGTCGGCATGTCGTCGGGCACCGTGCTAATCATCCGAGACCTTAAGGTGGAACGCGTAGTGAAGGCTCACAAGGCCCCTATGTACGCAATCCTAGTGACTAATGAGGTGAGTAGCGTTGACAAATATTTGAATACATGCATCTGCAGATAAAGACGAAATAAGATGAGCGGATATTTTTAATGCTGACTGCATTGATAAGTCGGCCTTTAAAATTTGACAGAACATCTGGACGGCGGGGCAAGGGGGCTACGTGTGCAAGTGGGACCGGGAATTCACCAAGTGTCTGAAGGTGTTTCCAGTAAGCGACCACTTTCTGGCGGAGACCGCGGCGGTGGCCTTCACCTCCGCTCAGCCGGGCCTCCGCAGCCTCTCCGCCGCCCCGGGAACCAACTCGCCCATCCTGGTGGCGACCCAACACGCTGAACTCCTTCTTATGGACGAAGAAGGGCAGCTCAATATAATCGTCCAGGTTGGCTGCAGAATCAATTCAAGTAAACTCTTTGCAATAAGAAACTCTTTGGCTTTAGCGCTGAAAGTTTAAAGGAACACATTAACAAAGCCTCGCTCTGCAGGGCCACGGCAAGGGCGAGGTATGGGGTCTGGACACGCACCCTCAGCTGATGGAGGCGGTGACGGTGGGCGACGACAACACCCTCCGTCGCTGGGGCTTGGAAGAGAACCTGGCTCTCGGCTCAGTCAGCCTGAGGAAGGCCGCGCGGTGCGTGCACTTCCATCCCTCCGCCATGTTTGTGGCCCTCGGCTATCTTGACGGTAAGTCCCTAACGAGATCAGATTAAAGGTTTTATAGGCTTTAGAAAGAAAGGTATTTTGATCTCTCAATCTATCTATCTATCTATCTCTCTCTCTCTTTCTATCTCTCTCTCTTTCTCTCTTCTCTCTCTCTTTCTATCTCTCTCTCTTTCTATATCTTTCTCTTTCTATCTCTTTCTCTTTCTATCTCTTTCTCTTTCTATCTCTTTCTCTTTCCATCTCTCTCTCTCTCTCTCTCTCTCTCTCTCTATCTATCTATCTATCTATCTATCTATCTATCTATCTCTCTCCTCTCTCTCTCTCTCTCTCTTTCTATCTCTCTCTCTTTCTATCTCTCTCTTCTCTTCTCTCTCTTTCTTTCTCTCTCTTTCTTTCGCTCTCTCTCTTTCTTTCTCTATCTATTTATCTATCTATATCTCTATCTATTTCTATATCTCTCTTTCTATATCTTTCTCTTTCTATCTCTTTCTCTTTCTCTTCTCTTCTCTTTCCATCTTCTCTCTCTCTCTTTCTCTCTCTCTTTCTACCTCTCTCTCTTTCTACCTCTCTCTCTTTCTATCTCTCTCTCTTTCTATCTCAATCTCTTTTTATCTCTCTTTCTATCTCTTTCTCTCTCTCTCTCTCTTTCTCTCTTTTTTTTTTTTCTCTTCTCTCTTTCTTTGTCTATCTATTTATCTATCTATCTATCTCTATCTCTATCTATTTCTATCTCTCTCTCTTTCTATCTCTTTCTATCTATTTCTATCTCTTTATCTTTTCCTATATCTTTCTCTCTTCCTATATCTTTCTCTCTCCTATCTCTCTCTTTCTCTCTCTCTCTCTCTCTCTCTCTCTCTCTCTCTCTCTCTCTCTCTCTCTCTCTCTCTCCTCTCCTCTCTCTCTCTCTCTCTCTCTCTCTCTTCTCTCTTCTCTCTCTCTCTCTCTCTCTCTCTCTCTCTCTCTCTCTCTCTCTCTCTCTCTCTCTCTCTCTCTCTCTCTCTCTCTCTCTCTCTCTCTCTCTTCTCTCTCTTCTCTCTCTCTCTCTCTCTCTCTCTCTCTCTCTCTCTCTATATATTATATATATATATATATTATATATATATATATATATATATAATATATATATATATCTCTCTCTCTTCTTTTCTATCTCTTTTCTATCTCTCTTTCTTTCTATCTCTCTTTCTTCCTATCTCTCTTTCTATCTCTCTTTCTCTTTCTCTCTTCTTTCTATCTTATTTATCTATCTATCTATCTCTCTTATCTATTCTATATCTCTCTCTTCTATCTCTTTCTCTCTTTCTCTATTTCTATCTCTTTATCTTTTCCTATATCTTTCTCTCTTCCTATCTCTCTCTTTCTCTCTCTCTCTCTCTCTCTCTCTCTCTCTCTCTCTCTCTCTCTTCTCTCTCTCTCTCTCTCTCTCTCTCTCTCTCTCTCTCTCTCTCTCTCTCTCTCTCTCTCTCCCTCTCTCCTCCTCTCCCTCCCTCCCTCTCTCTCTCTCTCTCTCTCTCTCTCTCTCTCTCTCTCTCTCTCTCTCTCTCCTCTCTCTCTCTCTCTCTCTCTCTCTCTCTCTCTCTCTCTCTCTCTCTCTCTATCTCTCTCTTTCTATCTCTCTCTTTCTATCACTCTCTTTCTATCTCTCTCTCTCTCTCTCTCTCTCTCTCTCTCTCTCTCTCTCTCTCTCTCTCTCTCTCTCTCTCTCTCTCTCTCTCTCTCTCTCTTCTCTCTCTCTCTCTCTCTCTCTCTCTATTCTAAACAACAGTGATGATATACCTATTGCATTCATTTATTTTCTTAAGAGGAAGATGCCAACAAACACCCCTTTCTCTCCCCCCAAGGAAGCGTGGCCCTCTACCTGTACCCGAGCCTGGAGAAGCACGGCGGGGCCCAGCACCGCTCTGAGGGCATCTCGGAAGTCAAGTTCTCTCCTGACGGTCGCTTCCTCGCCGTAGGATCCCACGAGTGCCTTGTGGACCTGTACGTCGTAGACACGGACGGGGACACCGTGAGCAAGGAGGGGACGGGCTTGCGGAGGGTTGGGGTGTGCCGGGGAGCCTCGTCGTGGATCACGCACCTCACCTGGCACAAGGACTCGAGGCTCATTCAGGCCAATACGGGTGGGTCTCGTGCATCTGCTACTGTGACCGTACGAATGCGCTGTTTGGAGCTGACTGCCGTGGAGAGAGAAACTGGATGATTGGCATTTTGTTTTTCTTTAGTCTTAATATGGTATTGGATTTTATGTAGAATTTAGCACACACACGCAAATATATAGGAATCAGTTTGTACCATTCCACTGCAGGACGTAGGACTTTCCTATTCTTTTACATTTTTTGGAGTCTTGCGTTCTGTTTCCAATCTTGGCTTCCGTATTTCGTTATCTCGTCTCGCCATCTTGTCACTGGTCCAACTCTGGGATGACTCTCGTGAACAGCTTGTAGGTAACTGGTGAGAGGCTTATGCGTGTGCAATTCTTTAGACCCTCTGTATCCTTTTTTGGTCTAATCAAATAATTATTGCATCTTTCCAAGCTTTCGGAATTTTACCGTTGATGTGACATTGGTTTAAAAGATTTGATAGTGTCACTCCTGAAGTTTCTCCTGCATTTATGAGAAAGTTCATACTAATACCATCTTCTAGTGTCTTCTCTTTCTTCATGTCTTTGATTGCTCTGTTTATATCCTCTAGTCTTCTAACTTCATGGAGTCCTACAACATCCCGTGAGGTGAATGAAAGTTCCTAATGCAATGCTAATAGGTCGGATTCCGTCCCCACCGTCAGTCTTTTGGTGACCTGGGTCCGGCCGGGATCTTTAGCTCTCTCTGCTCCAGAGAGATTCCTGATCGTCGCCGTGACCAGGGGCCTCTTCGCCTGAGGGGAATGAGGGCCATTGCTTTAGCATTGGATACATTGTGAGGGAGAGAGCCGAGTGCCACTCACCTGCTGGTTTAGGTCTATATTGGCGGGGAATCATTTAGCTAGTGCAAGTAGGTTCCTCTTGTGTGGCTGAATATGTCTAGCACTGACTTAAGAGAAGCAATACGCGAATTTATTCACTACATCAGCGTATACTCCTGTAAGCATGATGTATTTTATAAACGAATATGCGTGTGGGTTTACACTTGCAAATTGCATTTATAAATATGCACATTCCCGTACAATATACGCATACATATACACGCGTATCTATACACAAATATATCCACCTACATATGTGTGTGTATGTACATATATACATATATATATATATATAATATATAATATATATATATATATATATATATATATATATATACACACTTATATCACATGCACTTATAAATACACATATATATATACGCGTGTGCGTACATGCATCATCCATTAAATTCACATACACATACACATATGCCTATATACATGCATAGATGCGCATTTGTACCTTCACACCTATGTACACATATAAACATGCATATTCACAAATATCTATAAACCTATACACTCGCGCACACCAGTCACTCTCATATATACATTTACATACACACACACAAAAACACCCATGCATGCATACTACCTACATATATACTTGCACATACAGGCACACATACATACAAGTATAGCAATGGGGACTTGCGCCATTCCTTGGTCACGGGGCTCAGACACTGCTGAAAAGGGATAAGGAACAGTTCATCAGGAAGCTTGTTGATGAGTTTGAAAGCTATTTCTGAGTAATTTACCTTCGACCTGCCTACCAAGCCCCGAGAAAACTGACCTCCAAGCCCTCTTCGCAGATGACTGAAGTCCGCTCAGAGGATCATCTTAGACAATATTGGGGTCCGTGAGTGATGGGCTGGGTAATTAGTCTGGATGCAAGCGGTATCGCAATCCCTGTGCCTGACCCATCCGTCAGTGAGGAACCTCCTACCCTAAATGAGGTTTGGTAGGCGATCTCTAGGCTGAAAGGTGAGAAAGCTGCAGGCAGATGCGATATCCCTGCTAGACTGCTAAAGGCTAGGGGTGAACCTATGACACGGGGCTTGCATATTGTCCTGGCTGCCATCTGGCAGTCCGGTTCCATTTCTCCGGATTTGTTGAGGGGTTTGGAAGGGGAAAGGGGGTCGTTGAGACTATAGTAACTATCATGGCATCCCACTGCTCAGTATCCCAGGCAAGGTTTTCGCCCACATTCTTCTGAAACGAAACCACGACCACGTACTAAGGCACAAAAGACTGGAGCAGTCCCTTTTAACTCATGAGTGAGGCTATGCCCTCGCACCAACACTTTGGTCTCCTAGACCATAATCAAGATCCAGGATTCTTGCGGGGCCTATTAGGAGAACCCATTCAGTCGATACATTCTTGCAGTGAGGACGTCGAAGACAGATAGCTTTACATATTTTGGTAGTGCAGTCCCCTATCTCTGGGCTGTCAGACCAGGAAATCAGTAAACGGCTGCAGGGGCCATGAACTCAACAAGAGTATTTGGAGGTGTCGGTACCACTGAGAATATGGTAGGGTGTTAGAGAAGGGTCTGAGAGGTGATCTGTTGTATCTTTTTTTTATCGGAGAAGGGTGATACTCCTTTTTGGTCGGTCTGTTTTCACAGCCCTTGAGCTCACCCCCCCCCCCCCCATACGCATGCATATGCACACCCATTCTCTTTACTATCTGTAGCTTAGACGAACGCTGTGCTTTAAAGAGCTTATTAGTGAAGTAATATGTGCCAGCATGTTTAGGCACAAACAAAATGCATCACAAACTCGGCTGGTTAGAGGCGTTTTAATAGCGAATCAAAAGTAGTCGTGGGCCTGTATAGTATGTATTCATTCGGCCATTCATTTGCATGTTTTGTAACTTATGAGTTCAGGCTCTTTGTTTAAGTTGATTAATAGCATGTCTTTCCCTCTTACTATCATTGCCATCTCTCTGCAGGGGCGGGCGAGCAACTCTTCTTCGAGGCTCCGCACGGCAACCGCCAGCTGATACCAGACGCCACTAGTCGCTTCCTGGACTGGTCGACCCCACTTACCTGCGTCCTGGATGAGACGGTCGAGGGAATTTGGGCAAAGTCCATGGACCTCACGGACATAAACGCCATCGCAACAGCCAACGACCTCCCTTTGGTGGTCACGGCATGCGACGACGGAGGCCTCGTTAGATTGTTTAGGTATCCATGCCGGGTAAGCTCTGACGAAAGATTTTTTTGTGTTAATGGTTTGTGAAGTCTGGTCCTGTTTATTCTTGTGATTAGACTATTTACTATGTATTATCTTCTCAATGTATTTTATTTTGTCGTCACTGCTACCTTGTCGTCAGGGCGGGTTCAAGAAGCACCGCCAGTACAAGGGCCACAGCGCCCACGTGACCAACGTCAGGTGGACCTACGACGACTCGAAGATAGTGACGACTGGCGGCGCGGACACAGCCGTCATCGTGTGGCATGTGAGGAAGGTTGAATTCACGGAGGACCAGAACGACGAGCAGAAGGACGGGGAGGAATCGATGATGAAGCTGCCTGCTCATGCATTCAGTGATTTGCCTGAAGAAGGTAATGCTGAACGATTTTATGGACTTTCGTACCAATGATGCAACTACCCTATTAGCAGAAAAAAACATTGTATACAAAAACAGATTATCGAAAGGGGAAGCAACAGATGTAAATGTGAAGTTCAAGAGAATTTTGTTTGTAGTCTAGTTTTCTGCTTTTTATCAATGCGGTTTTGCTCAGTCATTCAGCTACTGTGTCATTGAATCCCCCTTCTCTTCATTCCATCCTGTGCAGAGATTACCATGACGGATTTAGAGGCAGCCGGACTGGAGGCGACGGCTGTGCTCACTCCCTCCACGGGTGTCCATGACTCCGCGAAGGATAGCATCGGCAAGAAGGGCGGCCCGAAGCGCGCCCCAAGAACCGCGAAGGGCATCAAGAAACACCTGGAGAGGCTGAGATCCATCCCGACCTTGACCGCGGATGATAAGACTGTGTTCTACTGCAACGAATGCGTGGTGGGAAAGCTCGAGTTAGAAGGTGCGAGAAAATGGTTTGCGGTTCCGTGGTTTGGGGATTTCGCTCTCTGGTCTAATTCATACTGTGTATGTGTAGATGGACAGAAGGCAGATAGATGAGTTTATTAGTCTCTCTCTCTCTCTCTCTCTCTCTCTCTCTCTCTCTCTCTCTCTCTCTCTCTCTCTCTCTCTCTCTCTCTCTCTCTCTCTCTCTCTCTCTCTCTCTCTCTCTCTCTCTCTCTCTCTCTCTCACACACACACATACACACACACACACTAGGTTGGTAGGGAGATAGAGACATAGAGAGACAGCCAGACAAACAAATACATTAATACATCCAGACACCCCTGGATACATATAGGAATAGATGTTAATATATCCATTTATTCATATATATTATATATATATATATATATATATATATATATATTATATATATATGTGTGTTGTGTGTGTGTGTTGTGTGTGTGTGTGTGTGTGTGTGTGTGTGCGTGTTTATTGTTCATAATCCATACATTTCCTTCCCCGCAGGCGGTGAAATCACGAGCCAGGGCATAGGCTACAAAGAACACGAGACACACATTACTACCTTGGCCATATCTAAGACCGAACCAGTTATGGTTGCCACAGCGCAGGTACGTACAGTCTTACTTCGTATTTTCCTCATTTCCCTTCGTTTTTCCCCTTTGTATGTTTATGCGACCTAAATTGTATACATTATTCATATTCCGTATTATTCACTACAAGCATTGTGTATAGTGACACTGCCTCAGGACATGCGATTGACTATTATTTTTTGGATATTTCATTCGCTTTCAGGACACTCAATATCAATTTTTTTTCGATAACTATTCTCCTGTTCCGTTCTGATTAACTCAACAACAACCGTCCGAATATCTTCAAAAAAAAACATTGATGTGAAGTTGAGATATACACGTATATTACCGCAGGAGACTTTTTCCTTTCTTTGATATCACATAAATGGGTTTCGGCGCCATAAACGAAAAACGTTGCTCTCGGTCTCTCTCTCTCTTTCCACGCTCCTAACTTTTCTCTTCTCTCCCTCCGTTTTCTCTTTCTTTCCCTCTTCTTTTTCTCTTCTCTCTATCTTTCTTTTTCTCAATCTTTCCTTCTCGTCTCTCACTCTTTTCTGTCTTTCTTTCTTTCTCTCCCACTCTCACCCATTCCAACGGAAGACGTTATGCGCACATAAATCGGAATCGCATGTCTATTTGTTGACGGCGTTTTTTTCCCCGAATCCAGTTAGCCGTGGAGAGCGAGGAGGGCGCGGCTGCCGACACCGAGGCCGCCCTCATTCACGTGTGGCGGCCTCTCGACGGCGCCAACGTGGGGGTGCTGCGCGGAGGCCTCGAGAGTGTCGTCACCTCCCTTAGCTTCTCCCCGAGCGGCAGGTTCCTCGCCTCCCTCGCCGACGCCTCCGTTGTTCATATTTTCAGCTGGATGAAAGGTATGGAAGTGAAATCCGATGGAATCTGGACAAGAAGGGCTACGAGAATAATTGTGTTTAACTAGACAATAAAAAAGGTACTGCTGCCTCAAGAAATTCAGATACACCTTGTTCTTCTTCCTGTCAAGATTTCTCACCGACATAATATAACTAGGCGGCCATTCAGAAAGTACCGACGGGAGTAATTGGCGGAGACTTATGGTAGACATGATGGCAGGAAATATGCATATTAGGGGCTGTTTAAGACCTCGCCAGGGCACAAGGGGTATGGGATCTTTCTGAAGCAGCTATACGTATATATCTGCTTACATTACTCTTGATAGTGTTAGAATTATGTTGAAATAATCACTGATCACTGCGGCACTTACTATACTGGATACCTAATTGTTACTAATAATTACACATTTTTATCTAAAACGTAAGGAAAATTTCAATGTGACAAAAAAAAACGATGATTCACGTGTTTTCAGGCGCCCATATCGCATCCACTGAACTGAAGGTCGGGATGGCGACGTCTCTGATGCACAGCGGAGAGGCCACGTTGGCAGCGCTCACGCCCAGGGCCATCCTGTTCCTCGATCTCGTCGGGAACTCCCTCGTCACCACGCGCGGCCAGGCGCCCCCAGACTTCCTGCCGGATGGGGCGGCGTTCAACGGCCTCGGGGTCTCGCCTGTTAGTACTCTGGTTCTAGCGAGTTAGTGAGGAAATTAGAGGAGGAAGGAAGAGAGGAAGGGAGGGAGAAAGGAAGGAAGGAAATGAGGGAGTGAGGGAGGAAGAGAGGAAGGAGGGAGAAAGAAGGAAGAAGGAAATGAGGGAGTGAGGGAGGAAAGTAGGAAGGAAGGAAGGAAAGGAACGAAGGTGGGTGTTGGGTAGGTAGGTACGTAGGAATGGAGATAGAATGAAAGTAAGGAAAGACCGGAAGAGAGGGGAGGGAGTGAGGGGGAGATATCGAAGGACATAGCCAGACGGGGAGGGGGAACGAGCATAATCATAAATTTTTAATTATTTTTTCTGTGTCCCTCTCTTCTTCTCGTATGTGTATGGACGATTGTATGTGCTTATCCCCCTGTGAATGTAAATATTTGAATTCATGTATATCTATAAAGTTCATTTGTAATTGAATATAGACTTATCAGAGGGATGTAAAAGAGAAAAAATGTGTGTATATATACTCGTATATGTACACACACACACACACACACAACACACACACACACACACACACACACACACACACACACACACACACACACACACACACACACACACACACACACACACACACACACACACACACACACACACACACACACACACACACACACGCACGCACGCACGCACGCACATACAAAACACACACACACACACAGATATATATATATAAGCTCCCTAGAACGCCTCGCGTCTTTCCGTTTTTGATTCAGAGCGGGCGCGTGTACGTGGGGACGAGCGACGGGAGTGTGGTGGAGTGGACGGGCCGCGTCGCCACCCGCTACGTCTCGCCGCCCGACGATCCCCCGACGCTGGTTCCTGTCCGCTTGGCCATCGCGGCCGGCCAGGGGGTCATCTTCACGGCTTGCAGGTATGGAGCATTTTTATAGTTTGTTTTGATAGATGCTCGTACCTAGTTGATATATTTAATCACCAAATCTGATTTGTGCAAATTTATTGCATATTACTCACGAGTATAAATTTTGTTATACGTAATTCAGTTATATATAACAGGCATCTATGAATATTTCACATTTTAAGAGTAATTATTCTTCCTCAACTTAGCTTCACCTGTCATTTATCCTTCCATTTTGATGTTTTACAGTATAGTAGAACGAAGCCCCTATGATACCCAAATCTAAATTAGACCATGTCCAGATCCACCCCATAATAATATTAATAATAAGATTAGCTTTAATGTCTTCCCTTAGTCAAGTATCGGCTTTTATCTTCCCATAATCATGCCATCTACCAAACTATAATTCGTATTCCATTCTAGACTCGAATCCGCCGTCGTGGTCCGATGCTACACAACAGACACTCCCAAACTGACGTTCTTTTCGGATTCGCTGATTGAGGCTCCGTCCGAGGACTGGATTCCTACTTCGGCTCGCCTCGGGGCAGAAATCCTGATCCTCGGCGCACGAATGAAGCAACCTTTTATTGTCCTCGACCTCAAATCGGGAAAGTTCACCACGATCGAGTACGGTTAAATGGCGCATGATCCTTACTTGTGCTGCTTTCCCAAATAAAATTATTCTGGGTTTTGGGAAGATGCTTTTAAATTTGATACTGGGTTCAATAAAGATGCTTTTAAATTTGATACTGGGATCAATAAAGATGCGTTTAAATTTGAATCTGAGGTCAATAAAGATGCTTTTAAATTTGATACTGGGATCAATAAAGATGCGTTTAAATTTGATTCTGAGTTCAATAAAGATGCTTTCAAATTTGATACTGGGTTCAATAAAGTTGCTTTTTAATTTGATTTTGAGTTCAATAAAGATGCTTTTAAATTTGATACTGGGTTCAATAAAGATGCTTTTAAATTTGATTCTGGGATGCTTCAAATCTGGGTTCAATAAAGATGCTTTTAAATTTGATTCTGGGTTCAATAAAGTTGCTTTTAAATATGATTCTGAGTTCAATAAAGAAGCTTTTAAATTTGATTCTGGGTTCAATAAAGATTCTTTTTAACTGTAATAAACTTTAGAGTAATATTTTTACTTGTTCACGTGGTAACATGTCAGAGCTTTTACGCAAATGTAAATATCATGGTTGCACTTATACTTTGTTATATGTTCACACCTAGTGCTTTAAAGTATATAAACAAAACTAAAAACACTGTATTGGTTGTATTTATTTCAGGCTTTCGAGTACACCATTTTTTGGTAAAGGCAAATAAACAAACTTGTAATTGAGTTGGTCAGTTATAAAATAATTATTTTGTCTTAGATTTCTTTCCCTTTTCCTTTGCCAACAACTTACAAGCAGTGACTTCTTAGAGGTGCTTACCATTGATAAGTTACATGGGAAAATATGAAAATACCATACACAATGTTTGTGATGTCACTTCTTAAGTACTTGTAACTCCTCACAATTCTGATAATACAGTGAACTCACTTGTGTTCACATGCCTGGTGAACACAATAAACTGAGATAACAGTACAAGAACTACGATTTCAAGTACTAAACTTTAAATAATTTACATGCATAAATACTACCTGAAGAAACAGGTAATTCAATGGTGTGGAAACTACATCATAAAAATATACTGTATGTTCTACTGGAAATCCTACCCTAACATGGTAGGATGAGTTACTCCCATACTAGCAAGAGCTCAGACATAACATTTTCTGTTAGGTTTCTACTACCATCATAAGAAATATTCTTCTTTAAACTAAAACTCTAGTATATTACTTTAGAAAAAAATATATGTAAATAAAAAGTAAAAATAAAATGCTATGCTAAAGCCTTGCATTGGCCAAATGGGCCTAGTAAGAGTACAAACGAGAAATCTCCAGGTTCCAGCACAGTTGTCGGTCCTAACTTTCTGCCCATGACACTTTATTACACAAAAGGCATTCCCTTCCCTCTGACAAATAGAAGATTCCTCCTAAGGCAAACAAAAGGTCTTGGTGGAACAAATCATCTTTTGTGCTCATCTGGCATTTCTTTTGCAAACATAAACTTGAACAATTTCATGTTCACCATAGCTGACAGCAGACTTCTCAGATGCACCTTAAGTTTCTACTATTCTTCTCATATAACCACAATAACACTGAATGACTTAAAAGGGCTTGAGGTGACAAACATAGTGAAAATGATATTACCATGGTAGACTATCCGAGATACAAATATACAGCCACAATAGTGGATTCAAAATCAAAATCTAATTTTTAACTTCAAAACAATGAGTTAACCAACTAAATTCTATATATACAGAGTAGCATATGGTCAATAAATACTACACAGATCTGTCACCTCTTCTTCAATTTTATGGTTGTATTTCTAGAGTTCACTGGTAGGCCACGCATTGGATTTGGCAATGGCAATGTCAGAATATTAAAATCTTGTACTTTACCTCTTACTGACAGCCATATTCCAGTTATTTCCTACGTGTACTCTTCAATCTACCTAATAGCCAATGTGGGATTGGGAAGGCAATGCAAGAATTATGCAAAATGAACCTAGGCCCAATATCACTAACATTTCATTTCCATACAAGGCTGATACTTTTATCTCTGCAGAGGAGCTACATTCTTTTTCACACAAATCAATCAAATTCAGTGTATAATCTTTCAATAATATTAGACTAGTAAAGTCTGGCTTGTCCAAACATTCATTCCTCAAACAGTATGAGACATTATCTGGCACTGACCTACAACAATGTACAAATCTATTTACAAAATCTGGTGGGGAATGTTCTATCACCAACTAATTGGATAAGTCAAGGCAAAAGAATCTGTCCAAATCCAGGAGTGGTCCAAATTTACACTAAAACAGAATTATTATAAAAATAATTAAAAGGAAAAGAGATGATGGTGTAGATCAAAGAAAATACTAAGTGTAATGACTAAAACCACAAGTTAACTATACAAAACTTTAGCACATCTTTGGTGGCAAGCAAGAGGAGGCAGGGGAAAAAATTCTATTATAATATGCAGATTTAGAAACCTCTAAATCCTATGATACTTTCACCTATATATTTAATAACCTAATTTGAACAACCTCTCTAGGCCAAGTATCTGATATGGCAAATTCAATCACACAATAATTCATCGTTAACGGACAACTGTTGTACAGCAGATTGAAAATGACAAGACAAATAAATAACAAAAAAGATTCCCCTATATTGTAAATGCATTCCCTTCTTAATATTCACATTGTAAACATCTCCACAGTTTCTGCCTGTGAAGGATCACTGGGGTCTGTAAAGAGCTGCAATGGCTCTGCCTTGACAATGGATCCCTTCCCACCAAGACTGTCTGGACTGAACTCTTCACTACCAATATGAGAATGTTCTGCAGCAAACTGGGCATACTCTTCATCTATTTCTTCCTGAGCCAAATGAACCTGCTGAAGGGCTTGGCCTCCTGTTGAGGAGGTGGAAACCATAGCTGTCCCATTGGAGGTCATGGTGCTTGTCACATTTTCTCCTGAGGCAGCCTGATGGGAACTCATGGAAGTTGCAGTCAAGAAGGAAGGAGCTGTTGTTGTGGCTGTGGTGGTGGACGTGCTGTCCATCACCACAGGGATGGCATAGTAAACACCTGTGGCTGCAGAATCTTCCCCAGCAACAAGAATTGTGGTACTACCAGATACACTGTTCCCTAACTGATCCATCTGCTCTGCCACCTGAGGAAACATACATAAAAGAAATCTTAGTGCAACGTAAGGTAGCATAGTAACACCTTTTCAACAAAATATATAAGAAGCATTATAAAGGGGGGGGGGGAATTCTCTAACTCACAATACCAAAGTTACATTTATTTTATTTTGCAAAAACAAAACTGAAAACATTAAAGGGTAATGACATTTTCCTTTCTTTTTTAAGTTAATCCTATACTTTTAAAACATCAACACACATAAATCTATTTGCTCAATATAAGTACTGGAAATTCTTTTAAAAGTAAATAATAAAGAAAAACAAACAGAGGAAGAAATCACCACTGATACATATTCAAAAATCAATCAAAGAAGCTAACCTTTTCCTTTCTTGACTACCATTCATATCCATGACATTATAATAATAGTTAAGAAATTCAAAGTTTACACCCAGACTCTCACCTTAAAGGCAGATTCCACAATGCTTAATTCTTCTTGATCTCTTCGTTTTGGTGACTCGTCTCCTTCTTGCTTTACTTCTGCACTTAAGAAGTGGGCTTCGGTTATAGTTGTACTACTGGCTGAATTACGGGATGCTGCATTGGAACCCTTTCGAACTTCTCGCAATCTCCCAGAACTTTTTCTAGTATAAGTTTTAGTAGTTGTGGATGATGTTGTCATGGTCTGACTTGGTATTAGATCAGATACACTTACTTTATAATAATTTAAAGAGGGATCCACTTCCTTGACTACAGGAGGTGGCAACTCCGGGATTTTGCCTTCCTTTCGCAACTTAGCTACTCTCGACTTGTACTGGTTATTTGTGAGACCATGAACTGAACTGTAATGATCTCTCAAGCCTGCCCTGCCATCTAACATAGCATTACATATCCGACATGGTGTATTTTGTATCTCCTGCATATTGTGCATTGTCCGCAGATGTGTCCGCAGATGCACTTTCTGCACAAACCCTTTATTACAATAATCACATTTGAAAGGCCTCTCTCCAGTGTGAACTCTCACATGCATCTCCAGTTGCCCTTGGCTTGGGAAATTCTTGCCACATATGTAACAGTTAAGTCCACCATCTTCCTCATGCATCCGAACCATGTGAGATTTCAGAGAATCAGTCCGGGTAAACACCTGTAAAGAAAGTAAACTTCTTAACTACTGACATGTATATAATGAAAATAACATTGTTGAGGTGAGACAGGCATCTGATTATTTTCCACAATACTCCATCACTGATCTCTTTGAACTCTGAGAAACAAGATTTCATCCCTAGCAGTCAAGATATTTAAAACCTCCACAATCCATCTCTTACCTTCTGACAAACTGGACAAGTAAGGTTGCTTGACTCTTCATGATCATTTACAAGGTGCTGATGAAGAACATGACGCTGTGGGAAGGTCTCATCACAATATGGGCATGGAATGTCCTTTACTTCTAAGTGAGATTTCATATGTACACGAAGAGTAGTGACAGACCTGCAAAAAAACAAAAACATGAAATAAAATAAAGACAGAAATATACAAAATAACACATTTCAAAAATACACACGAATAATCATTCACTCACTTCAGTTATTCAAGATGGTACCTTGGCACCAATGTAAATCATTGTGTTCATTCACCATTAACCCTTTCTTTACCAACCACTTGCATTTATGTAAACAAACCAATGCTTTGCCATACCTACCATGTCCATTGCATGCCATAAGGAGTGGTATACTCTATTATCTAACCCAATAACTTACTTTTTTTTTCTTTTTGTCAACTGATTACGGAAACATCCATTACATGAAGTTTTGTACATAATATATTGATCATAAAAATACATACATCTATAAGTTATCACATTGTATACAAAATCAATATTAACCCAATAGATCCAAATGATGTGGATTTCCTGTCATGAAAAAAAAAATTGGCCATGGGGCAAGTGATAGATATGTACTATCATGAAAAATCTGGCTGTGGGCCATATGTCATGCCATGGGATACTGTTGCAGAGTACACAAAGCTTTTGCAGGTAGATTAACTCCTGCAATATTTTGAATATTAAATTAGGGTGGAGTGTCCTATCTATGAGCCATGCTTGGGAGAACCCCATGTCCACATGCTGAACTTACTCCTGCTTAAAGGGGCTGTTGCACTCGAGAACAAAGTTCCTTAATTATGATCAGATTTTCAAGATTTTTAAATA